ACAAGTTTCCATCGTTCGGTCAGTATGTTCTTTGGAAAGTTTCATTGCACAACTCCTGCAAGTTCCATGGAGCTTGTCCAGCTTCTGGAATTCCAGAAACTGGTTGACAAAGGAAATTGAAACAAAGCACATGGAACAATGGTTCTCACACACAAAACAATCAGCAGTACAATCAGCTGCTCCAGATTAGAAGGCGTTCAACTCCTGGAGTTTGAAGAGTGGTCCACTACTACAAGTTGTCACTCACTGCATCAAGTCTTAGTGTAGACAGTCCAAGGCCCAGCATACAGTGCACAATGCAACAGCCAAGCCACACCAATCGAATGCAAGCCCACGCTTCTGACCATCACCGAAACATCGGAATTAAAAAACATGAAGGCCAACATCATGAATTTGGGCCTGATCAAGATTGTTTTCTAGGCTAGGGTTGATAATAACCAAATCCTAGTGTTCAGTGTGCCATAGAGCTTGAAACCAAAATTCAATGTGCACCTGGCAGTGCATTCCTCTTCCTCAAGAGGCTATAAGAGGCTATGCAACCCATTCAGTCAACACATCAAACCCAAAAGCCGACCATAAAAAATGAAAACCACCACAACTTTGCATCTTTCGGTGCGTTTCTCTCGTGCAAGAGGTCCTATTTAAGAAAAACTCCCACATACATCCACCCATCCCATTCCTCACCCCATCACCTCAATACAAACATCAATGGGGTGTTACCCTGGAAGCAAGGGCAAGGTGAAAACTCCAACTAGACATGAAAACATCAACTAACAGTGAGGTGGCTTTATAGTACAAACTGAGGGGTCAAGTACCTGGCAATAAGAGGTTCCAGCAAACATTTCCAAGCTTTGGTTCCAAGAGATTTTTCTGAGCTTAGCAAGTCCGGCTGTATAAAATTACACCACCGTAGACCCCAAACAGGTTAGACAACAACGAAGCATTCGGTGGACACAGTGACCAACAAGAAGGAAGACAAGAAGGGAGACAGAAGGGAGACAAGACGGACACAGTGACCAACAACAAGGGGGACAAAACCGGAGACAAAAAGAAACAGAGGGGGGACAAGACGGACACAATTACGAACAAGAAGGGAGACAAGACCGGAGACAAAGGGAGACAAGAAGGAAGACAAGAAGGACACAATGACCAACAAGAAGGGAGACAAAAAGGGAGACAAAGATAACAGAAGGGAGACAAGACGGACACAATGATCAACAAGAACGCAAACAAGAAGGGAGTCAAAAGGAAGCAGAAGGGAGACAAAGCAAAAGAAGGGAGACAAGACGGACACAGTGACCTACAAGAAGGTAGACAAGGCAGATACAGTGACCAACGGAGACAAGACCGGAGACAAAGGGAGACAGAAGGGAGACAAGGAAATGCTGCATGGCCAGCGGAAATGGGCCAGCAGTGACAGAATGGGCGGACACATCATAAAGAAGAATTGAGAACCCCTAACAGTAAACTGTTTCGGGAATGAATAGAAATGTTGCATCGCCAGCGGAAAGGGCGGACACCAGCAGTGACAGACCTGCGAGACAGATGGATAGAAATGCTACATGGCCAACGGAAAAGGGCGGACACCAGCAGTGACACAAAGGGCGGACACATCATAAAGAAAGCATTGCGAACCCCTAACGGTAAACTGTTTGGGGAATGAATAGAAATGTTTCAGTTTAGATCATTCTCACCCCATCATAGATGTCAGCTGCCAGCTCATCTCACGATCGTCACGTCCTTAGACCCTGCCTGTTCGATGACCAACTTCTTCTTCTGAGTCTTCTTATCTTCCATGACCTCAATCAACGTGGATGGATGAGTTCTTTGCTTTTCCCAACACATCTCCCAAATCTGCAGGATGTCTTCGGAACCGAAGCATGCACAAGCTGCAGACCTACAGAATATAGGCATGAGCGTTCCGCATGCTGTAGACCTACTCGATCCGGTCATGGAGTCATGGCACTGGATTACCTGGGAGAATGTAACATGAACAGAATGGATTTCCTGGGAGGTCAACTTGGTCAACTTGGTCAGGGCTTTGACGCTCCAGGTCTTGACCCAATATCTTTTGACATGTGACCCACTCGTGGGTCAATCGCTCGAACTTGAGCAAAGAAAGTCTGAACAAACACGAAGACGCATGCGAAGAGTTCGCCCCAGAACCCAACAGCGGGAAATATATTTTGTTCCAAAATTATTGTAAAGCCGCTGTTCGTTCAGAAGCAAATTAGAATCAAGTGATGTTTGCGTGAGTAAATCCTACAATATGATCCTATCTCATGCAAGAAAGTTTGTGCGAGACGAACTTTGAGCCTAATGAAAGGAGCTGCCACAGGATGTGGACGGCAAAAGAAATTCGAACTGCGTTGCACAAACCTGATCTCAATGGGCAAAACTGCCATTTGTTCCATTTTCTTCATCTACGAATGACGGGTCACTCCGCGGTGTCACTCCGCGGTTCCGCTGATGAAACGAACGACACGACCGGTGACCGGTGACGTACCCGACAGGGGCCCGGTGGAACCACCGGAGGATCTCGTTCGTACCCGAAATGAAAAGGGGATCATGACGTAAAATAGACGAGGTCATTACAGTACTTAATATGGACCAATTGTTGCCAATATTTTTTTCCCAGACACTCCATGTATGGTATATTTACCTACATTGGGGCATATATATATATATTATATATATTTATATGTTATGTACCCATTTTGAGGTTTACTTTCTGAGGCTCCAGGATATCACCTTCACTCCTTTGAGCTGCTTACGAGAATGCTGGTAAATCCCTCAACCAGGCTCACTGACCGGCGGGCTGCGCCCCGGGTCTACCGAGTCTGCGGGACGGAGGAGGTGCCTTCGCGGCCTGGACCGCCATCCGCCGGCCTCCGGCCAGGAAGCTATCGAGGTCCTCGCCAGGTCCAGGTGGGTGGGAAAACACGAGGTGTGTGGTGTCTGAGAAATGTGTTCCATGGACTTCCATGGCGCAATCCTGGAACTTCCTCAGTAACTTGTTTCTCTGTTCTTCTCTCATTTTTAAGATCTTCACGAGCTTGGCATGTGTCATGTGGCGTATGGGAGACCCACGATCGCCTCGATCCGCTGGGTAGACTGGTCTATTTCCTCCAACCGACAAAGGGGGGTCGTTGCCTGAGGGACGTCTCCCTATTTCGTTCGACACACCCAAAGAGTGAACAGGAGGTGACAAAGGAAAGATCCATCTCTTCCAAATCTCAAGTGACGAAGACTGAAGACTTCACTTCAGATTGTCGTTTTTAGCAAGGTGTTGCACATAGAAACACTCCACTTGCGAGGTTATTCTTTTGTTTCGGAAATGCATGGATCCATCGAGCGGTGTTTCCCTTGCCGTCGCTGCGACGGTGTTGGGACATGTAAGAGGGTCGGTTCGCCCCGATAGTTCAGTGGTGACACACAAATCCTTCCGATAGTTTGCCCTGGCTCTTGTGGCCATGGAACCGGGGGAAACAAAACAACAACCACTTATACCTGGACCATCCTGTCTGGGTGTCCATACATACGTAGTGTAGGGTAGTCTAGTAGTCTAGCCACGTGACCCATTGGATGGTGCTGGTATTATAGTTTATACACATACCTGGATCTTCCAACTATGTCCAATTTCTGCCATACTTGGTTGACTTTATATGGATGAAAAAGCTGAAACAGCTTTACATGTCGTTGGAAGAATTATACACATATTTATGCCTCAGTTCCAGATATTTCCACATACCTGGACCCTCCAAAGTACCTCAGAAAATGGGACATGACCCCATAAAACAGGTACTTGTACCCATTTATGAAGAGCATATTTCAAAGCCAACGACAAAGTTCCGTTCTTCATCCTTGAGGCGCTAAGCACTAAGTTCCGTTCTTCACGGCGCAGATCGGCGCTGATCTGGAGCAAATCATCGCGCGGACAGTTGTTGGGGGACTCATCCAATGACCTTCCTATAGCCTGGCCTATAGTCCAATTCTGCATCATTCGGAACCTCCTCCTCCCCCTCCCAAGAAAAGAACTACCCAGACGCTCCAAACAGCCCAAGGATTCTTGTCTGAACTTGAACGTCTTAAGACTCCAATCTCTGGCTATGACCCACCACATCCCGCCAGTCCTTGAATCGCCCTTTCCCCCCCCCAGCCCTCCACCCCCCACCCGCTCTCTCCCGCTCACCGCGGTGACCGTGGCGGTGAGTCTGCGCCTCTTCCTCTTCTCGTGCCTGGACCACCGCACTGGTCATCGCCTTCACGGCGTGACCACCTGAGCCGCAGAGCGGCGCGGACCGCGCGCACACCGCGGGACGCGTCGGACGCGTCGGACGCGTGCGGTGCCTTTGGAAATGGCCTGAGCTCGCGCCGCCTGGGACGTGGCTTGCGCGGAGATGTCGAAGAAACGGATCGCTGGATAGAGTGCGAGAAAGAACTAGTGTTCATTCGTTCTTGTTTAAAGACAAAAAGAAACATGTGCGTCGTGACAGCTTCTTCCATGAGGAGCTGAGTGATCTGTTTTCAAAGCACCTGGAGTGTGACTTTATTCGTAACCAGAAATGGAACATAACAATGACAATTGACATCATGTCAATCTGTACAGGTTGCGTTTTGGTGTTTCCATGGCAATATTTTGACTCATACGCAGCCTGTTCAACCACCCCTGCACACCCTCCGCGGCAGGATGTCTCTTTTGACCTTTGCTCACGGCCGATGGCGCCCTCACCGTGGCGCGGGAACACCGCGGTTCGCGGTGGGCACCGTGCTCGCCAGGCGCTTCGCTGCGTGGGTCTTTGGCAGCGCCGGCAGCGCCGGCCGAAACGGGTAGGTCAGTGAATGGGGGGTCGAGGCAAAAACAGCTCGGATCCCCAGAAAAGTGGAGCGCTATAGATTCAAAGACGAAGAGTTCGGATGAAGAGTCGTCGGGTGGATGCAAGAAGGGTTCAATTCAGGGGTTCATCCTTATTTTTATCAGATTCGGTTCATTTCATCGACTTACAAAAGACACATAGCCTGCCACGTTTGGTCGATCCACATATCAGGATCCACCAAACTTACTTCTGACCCGATGCCCGATGCATGTGAGACTTCAGGTCCCTTGTTGGGACCGAGTAAAAATACAATGCACCTCACGTCGGCAGCAGATGGAACCTGAAGCATCACTCTTTCCGACATCGTTGAGTGAAAGCTTCAGTTGGCATGAAAGAACTTCACGTCAGCCTTCCTTTTTTGAATGTCTCACTAAGTACTAAGTGAGATCCTGGCGCCAAGTCATTCAATTGGCCTGTTCGACTCACCCTTTTCGGGGATCAATCACTGCAAATGAGAAGCATGTTAAGTGATGTTGCAATCCGGTTGAAAAAAGAGCTCCACAGGTCCTGGCCGCCCGAAGTCAGTCACCGAACGAAGTCGTGAGTTCACGTGATGGTTCCGTTCACCGAACGCGCGCGCCCAAAGCGGGAAGACCCGGCTTCTCGCGGTGAGCTCGAGCTCCACGCGCTCATTCCATGACTGGCGGTAAAAAGCCAGCTAAGGCCTTGGTCCGGGCATCAGCCAGCGCACGGGCCTTGAGAGGTGTCTTTTCACTCGGATTCCTTGAGATCCGTATGAATTGATCATTCCGGATGACTCATTGGACACAACGAATACGTCAGTCTCTCATGTGACTCATGTGTTTCAAACACATAGAAATGAACAGGAAACCCTTCGTCCAAAGTTCAAAGAGCCTCTCGGGAGCTGGAGGAAATTGAATCACAATGAACACCTGTAGAGACCCTAACGACAAACATATGAGCAACGTGCAAAACCTCTTATGTGCTGTAGTGCGCACTCTTCCCAACGTTATCGTTTTTTCTATGAACTTCATCGTTCCTGAGGCTTTGGACACACCCAAGAACATGTACTAAACCTTATCGTTCCTGAAGGTTTCCTTCACTTTACTTACTTGGTCTTCACTGTAGTGACGCTGCCTTCACCGGAGGTTTTGGCAGTCGCTCATATAACTCATATATCAAGTTGAGTAGTAGAAAAGAAACATGGTGCTTCTTGGTGTTTTATGATGTTTTATGGTATTCTTGATGTTGTTTTTTCTTATAGGGTCTTCTGATGTTGTCAAAATCATGCAAAAACCCCTCCTCAAACTTTGGGGAGCCAACAACCCCATCATACCCCCCCAACATGGATTGAACCACCTCTTTCAAGTTGAGGGGAGGTTGAAATATGATCAGCCTACCTACCAGGGTTCACTCCCCCCTCTTTTCATCCCCAAAGAACACCACCATTGGAACACCAACAAGTTCCAAACCCTTCGCCCTATGGCGGAACGCTCCCACGCCCCATGGCGCATCGTCTCTGGAGGTCTTTAGTCTCTGAGTGCTCCCGGCAGCATTGGCCACGGCCAATCGACCCTCCATGAGACGCAAGCGTTGATCCAGGGTCATCAAGTGAAGCTCTAAGCCTTGGGTCTGAGGCCGATGGGTTTCAGAACACGGCCATGGTCCCTTTTCTTTTTGTGACGGAAGAGCTGTTGCTGATAGTTGCGGTTCCTGTTGCTGGCATGGAATTCTAGCTTGGTTCCAAAAGGAAGACGACCCCCCGTGGCAGATATGTTCACTGGCGGTTAGAGGAAGATGACACCATCCTAAGACTCTACAGAGGGGACCTCTGCAAAGCGAGAGCGAAGCTTTGAGATGCCACAGGGCCTCAGACCTCTTCCGTTTGAGATGCCACCGACTCCGAGGTTCCGACACCGTGAGTTCCCCGTGTAGACTTGAAGTTTCAAACCCGAACTTGAGGTAAGTTTGGGGGTTTGGGGGGCGGCACTTGAGAGGTGTCATATATCCCATGGAAATGGATGTCATGCATCAATCATGTTGAACTCTTCATGCTTTGCTTGGGGGAACCACTCTCATTGAACCCTCTTCAGGGCAGTCTATGCTTGCCTTGCTCCACAGCCCTTCCCTGTCCATCGCCCCCTCGGACCATCCGAAGACGACCGTCGAAGCCACGTGGGTTTCCACCTGCGAAACAACGGACAAAACCAATCCCAGACACCCCATGGGACTGCCATATGCCGATCAGTTGGGGTGGTGCCAGGGGGGTCAATGTAGGTACATTTGGCAGTCCCATGGAGTGTGGAATTCTGATGCAAAGACCCTCCACGTTCTTCGATCCAAAAAGGAAAACAGTTGGTCGCTTCTTGGGCGTCGTTTGATTGCCCAAGGGGCCCTGGTTTCGCTGATCCACTCGATGTTTCAGATGGCACAGGTGCTCGGAGACCCTGCGCCGGGGGGAGGCATGGGTTCTGTTTGGGGACGTGTGACATGTGGGACATCGTTCCGTAGCCGACTCAACGAATGTGCTGAATCCGACGAAGGGTGCCGCCCCATGGACTGCAGGTCAAGCTGTATGTAAATGACCCTGGGGTTCCAACATGTTCCAACCATATATCCTCAAGTTCGGTGGGGACTGACCCCACCCATCTTCGACCACCCACCCCTGTCCCATCGAACCGACACGGTTTCGGGGGCGGCCGAGGTATGGTCGCCTGTGGAATGATGATATGAGAGTCCCAGATGGCGGTCGTGTTATCGGTGAGATCAAGGTTACTTTCTTTTGGACCGCTTCTTTTCACACGAAGCATCTGCGAAAGAACATGCCAAGATCTCGGAGAAAAACACCTCCCCCATGAAACACACCATGCATAATCATGCATTAATATAGGGTTATCTGTATATAGGGGTCTCTACAAATAGCCTCTTAGAGGTTAAGGGGATTGAAGGGATGTCCCAAAAAAAACCACCCGGTTTCAAAAGGCAAAGGCCACTGGGATGTCCTGGACACGGGACAGTAACCGGGCGATCTGTGGGGTAAGAACTGGTCTTTCAGCTTAAGCACTTATGGTCAAAATACTACATGAGGTGTCTGGCACTCACCTCCCACTTTTCCTGGATGGACCGACGTCCTTTTTTTCGTTCACAGAACCAACGGACGTATTACGGAAGCAGCTATATGTCGACTCTTCGAGTCCCTTCAGCCATGTGGCTTCATCTTGCCAGCTGGCTTCATCTTGAAAACGACTTGCAGGGGTGACTTCTTGGCTTTGCATCTTTGCCGCTTTGCTTCAAACCAACACACATCTCGCGAAGCGTCGCTACGCTGAAGGCGAGCCGACGCGACCTTCGGGTCTGCAGGATCGCGTGGTGCTTCACCGAGCTCAGTCGCCCCGGCAGCTCACCTTGGCGTCGAGAGACCGTGGTGCTGACGACCTTCTCGGGACGGACATGAACGATCATGCTGGCGCGGGACCTAGTGCGGAACACGCGGTTGACCCGCCGCGGTTGGGAGGGGAAGAAGTATTAAGCCCGAGGGATCCAAGTACTTCTAAGAAGGTGATTCGAGATTGGAGACACGAAAAAACAACATATAAAGGGTTTTGAGAGTCCAAGTACTACCTTCTGAGAAGGTACTTGGATCCCATGGGGAAGTAATTAAAGCTATATAGATCTATATAGGGAGTCTTTCCGGTCGGTGATGGCGCGAAGGTGTGTTCAACCCACGCAAGATCGGTGTCTTCGTCTTCGTCCTGAAACCGCTACGTATTTGGTGGTGCCCAAAGGCTCGTCAAGCTCCTGGACTGGACGATTTCTCCGCCGGCACCGTGTGGCACGAGCACGCGGCGAAGGACAGAAACCCGCAAGCACCTGTTAATCGGACGACCGTGATCGGACGACCGTTGGGTCCCCGGGCTCTCTGTGGCACAATTGGATCCTTCATCATAGCCCTCAGTGAAGCGTTTTTTGCGCCGAAGCGCGATGTCTCACGACGACGGGCTGCGGATGGCAGCGGCTTAGCGGGAGGGGGAAAAAGGGGGGACGTTTGGGCCGAGGATCTTCTTCTCCCCGAAGCATTGGGTCTCTGGATCGCCGGTCGATCGCTGGATCTTTGGACAGTTTTGATTTCTCTGGGGAGAAGAAGACTATTTATATAGTCATTATAGAGCCAAACGATCCTTCACTACCAAACTGCCTGACCAGAACCCTTTGATCTCAGCAAACGGGTGGTAACTCTTCTGAATTCCAAACGGTTTACAACCGCTGCACTCCCACAGAACTGGCCACCTTGGTGGGTGGGTGGGTGGGTGGGTGGGTGATTCAAGATGTTTGAAGAGTATTCTTAGTGAGTGGTCCAACAAAACGCGAGCCCACTCAAATATCCCACACCGCCAAACACTCCATGTACCAGGACCTTCCAACAGGTTGATTTTGAAGCCCTTAACCTCTAAGAGTCCTCTTGGAAGTCCTATGGAATTACATTGACCCCAGGTGAACCACCCCTGGCCTTCTCTCGGTCAATCTCCCATAGAGTCTCTGGTTGTGTAACGTGCCACGCAAACGCGACCCTGGACCCTTCTAAGTATCTGCCGGACCCTCAAATCCCTAGGGTTTTGAGGGACCAAGAGCAGTTTGGAGCGTCTGGGCAGTTCCATTTGGTCTGGGACTGATCCGATGGCATCCGGAGACCCATTTCACTCGCCCTGGTAGCTTGACCTCCTCGGTCGTCTATTCTGCATGGTCAACGCCGGGAGGTCCCTACTGCCATGACCCACCCACGGCCTGTTTTTCCGTCCGCCACCCATCTCCCAAAAAACGCCCGCCCGCCGGTCCGTGTTCCTGAAACGGGGCCGACTCCCAGACTCAGGCACGTCTCGGTGGCAGACCCAGAAGTAGTACTTCTGAGAATCCTGACGTTGGCAAAAACCCACGGTGGACCCGAACCAAAAAACCGAGCCTCTCGTGAACCCTGAGCAGGTTGACGCAGGTTGACGTTCCATGATCGGTTGCAATTTGAAGATGTTTTCAGCTCAGATCTGTTCCATGGTGGGGGTGCCCCGACCGTCGTATGTCAGAATTGATCAGATCCAGCTTTGGGGGAACCAACAACTCCAAAAAACCGGAACAAAGTGACACTTCAACACGAACAGTTAGGGAGTCTTGGACGAACACCCTGGGCTTTGGCAAAGCACCGTGACTTGAATCTGAACTGTTGGAGACATGTCGCTGTTCTTTGCGGCTTCATTGGCCCACACTCACAGACCGGCATTCGGTCTAGCTCGAGCTCGTTTGCGGGAGATGCAAAGAGGTCTCCCAAACCTTACGGATTTCTCAAAACGTGAGCTACTTCTTTGATTGACTTCTTCAAACTACAGCAACATGGTTGATCAATGTTCATGGTGAATTGACCATTTAGGATCCACCCACGCAAGTGGGGAGAAGCGTGCACTCTTGAGTCTTTTTTCTCGCACAACACCATGCAACTTCCGCATGGAACGTTGAACCATCGACGTACGTACCATCCGCGTCCTTCTTATGCCAAGGCAGTTGAAGGAGCACCGCGTCGGCCAAGAGACTTCCTGCGGCGTGATCGGGGGATTGGGTGCAACATTCTGTGAGAAACAAGGCCAGGCGGCCAGGTGAGAAGGAAGAACACACGGAGGCCGACGTTGCAGAAGACATGGAACACCACTGGTCAGCCGGTTTTCTCAAACCCGGAGCTTCTGGACACAAATATCATCTCTGCTATGTTCGTTTTAGGATGCCTTAGGTCCGCTGCCAAACGCCAGGTTTGATCACCCGTGGCGAACTCTCCATCCCAAAAGCCCTGTCTGGACTTCCAGGTAACTGTTGGGTCCACGACTTTGGGGCCATCACCGTGGATTTCCACCATGGGAGGACTGAAGGCCTCCCACGTCAACCATCCTGTCACTGGGTGTTCTTGGACTACCCAGACCACCCCTTAACTGCTAAAGGGGCTATCAATGGACACTCCTTGAGGGGTCCTGGTATCAATCAAGAGTCTACATGAAATTTTCTTAGTACATGTTCTGCTGATGGGAATCCAGCCAGGAGACCCCAGTAGACCCAAACAGGATGGTGCAAGTAGCTGTGAAGGTAGCTGTGATAGATCCTGGAACTGTGAAAGGAAACCACTTCCTTGGATGAACTTCTATAGACACCACAGGAACTGTTATGGACATGTGAATTCAGCGATTCTCATACACTCGACAAGCTCCGGACAGGAAGTGATGAACTCGCTATGTCCAACACACAACCCTACCGGTCAGTGAACGACTGGAATTGATCATACAAAACGCAACTTGACCAGGTTTTCAGGACCAAGTTTTACTGTCAGACTGGACCTGTAGGGTGAAGATCTTCAAGCATGAATGACTGAACAAAAACTCTTCGTTTGCTCTGATTTCTCGATCAACCCAGAGTCCAAATGAGTCCAATAGACGAACGCTCCTGCCAGAAGAGTAAAGCTGGCGATCCAAGGATGAAGCTCTCCTGAAGCATCCGACCACGGGCTGAAGACACACGGTTTTGGCCGGTTTTGAAGGGTGTTCTCTCGAAGAGCTGGGATGGCCTGGGTATTTGACCTCGTTTCGGGGTTCTATATACTGGGAGTCCTCAGTCTCTCTTCCAACCGTTGGTGCTGCAAAGGCCTCTTAGAGGAAGGACTCTCCACTGTTCCCTTCCTCCACTGCTCCGTCGCAAATTTAAGTTAAGAGGAGTTCCCGCTTAGTGTGCGAGAAAACCAAGTACACCAGCAGTTCCATTTCGGGGTGCTATCCATGTGTAAATATAGGTTAGTGGTGCCAAAAACATCCACTCACTGTATGGACTAAACACCACCCCAGCATGTGACTCCTGGCTTGAAGTGGAAATGGGCACTGATCGCAAGACCTTGAAGCCTAAGGTTCCTGAAATTATCCCGGCAAGAGACCCCAAACAGTGTGTGAGAGTGAGAGTGAGTATGAGTGTGAGCCAGGATGCTGTGCCTGTCACGAAATCTGCACGTCGAGGTTCACAAAGTGCTGTGCCTGCCACGAAATCTGCACATCGAGGTTCACCAAGTGCTTTGCCCGCCACAAAATCTGCACTTCGAGGTTCACCAAGTGCTGTGCCTGCCAGGAAATCTGCACTTCAAGGTTCACCAAGTGCTGCGCCTGCCACGAAATCTGCAAACAAGCCACATGTCCAAAAGTCACGATTCACTGCACCTGTCACGGACTCTGAGATCGTTGACGATCACCACCATGTCGAAAGTGCTGTGCCTGCCACAAAAAACTGCATTTCGAAGTATAACAGCTCCGAGCCCTTGCACCTGTCACGAAAAGTCGACTTTGGAGCACCAAAACACGAGGTTTCCCTTGCAGCTGCCACGAAAAGTAACCATCATGTGCGGAAATGCGCGCGACACCACAACGAGAGCGCAGTCGCGCTAGAAGCACCCGCCGGGGGCAGGCAGATTTTGTGAGCCTGCGCAGTCGAAATGCATTTCGACGGTTTCGAGAGGCATGAATGTACTGTAAATAGCAGCCAATCAGCCGGTCATGCCCGCGTTCTTCAGCGATCTAAGCATCAGCTGCTTTTCCATTACCGTAAGAACCCCTAGTGTGTCCACACTGTTTGGGGAAAAAACAAGTTGTCAATAGTTGTCACTTTCCGCCATGTGTCTTGGTTACAGCTTTCATAGCTGAAAAAAATAATGCAGTAGATGACGTACGTCGTAGACAATATGTTGCCCCATCCTATAGTCGAGGGTCTTGGATCACTTCCATGTTGCTTCCAAGTAGTATAGCCCATGGTCCCCGCACGAATTAGAAGTTTGAATCGATGTCCCTTTTTACCTGTGGGAAATTGGATCTGAGCTCCACGGCTCCCCCAAAACAAGCTAGAAAGCACCTCAACACACAGGTGAACCCCGATCTGGTACCCTCTGGTACCCCCCATCTCTCAGTACCGAGTCGCTCATCCAAATCAGCAGTCCCCAGGCTCCGAAGGACAAGGCCTGGATCTGTCCCCCGGAGTCAGGGAGCAGTGCAGCGGCAGCGTGAGTCCAAACGTGAGTCGAAACGTGCCGACCTGGTCAAGTATGGTTTTTACAGCAACCCCAAACGTTTGGGGTGCCTTGTTTTTGCTATAGGGGGGATGGGTATGCCTATACTTCACCCCAAACTTGACCCCAAACTTAACCTCTGCCATCATATAGTACTATAGCATTCATATATAGCGCTAATGTCAATTCCAGGCTCTTTGGGGTCGCTTTCTGTTTAAGAAAGAAGAAGCGATCCCGACCCCAAAAGGCCTGGAATGAAAGAGACGATGCGATTTCACGTGCTTCTTGTGACCTTCCTTTGAGACCGCAGGATGAGGTTGAAGCCCCTGAACAGCTTTCACCAGGGTCACCGAACTGGTTCGGTCACCGAACTGGTGAAGTTCGGGTGGGTCAGCGGGTTCACCCTGCTTTCCCCCCTTTCCGGTCAGATGAGACAACAGAAAACAACAAAAGTCCCACACGCTGTTAACACACGTCCCACTCCGCGCCGCACGCGGCCGCGACGGTCCCGTGGTGTTCTCGACGTTCTGGGGAACGGTCTGAGGGAATTTTTATCCAGGACGTTCCAGGTTGTGACGCCGTCGATGTTGTTTTTCGTTTTGGAGTCAGATTGTGTCTTTTTCCGGATGGCGAAGCTTTGGATGTCAAACTGGCATCTCTTCTGCAAAATCTTAATTCGGACTAACTATACATGCCACAAATATGTTCGATCTAGAACCAATCGAAAACAGCATAGGAAGCCGTATAGCATCTGATCCCGAGGTTTATCCAAATACACCACCCAAAACGTTCTCATCCTTCAAACCATCCATGCAAGACTTCTGGAGTCATCCATGGGGGGTAGATCTTTCACTCTTCCGAGGTTTGCCAACCGGTCGACCCGGTCCAGGACAGGGTGTCCAAGGGACCCCGTGTACAACGACGAAAACGGTCGGTTTCTCCGGTTTCCTCCCGCCAAGGCTCATAGATGCCACAGCACAGCCTCCGTTGATTCAAGATCTTCCAACAGCAGGGCAAGCGTGGCCAGCCTCGCGCGCCAGCGCGCGGGACGAGGCGCGGGGGTCCCCGGGACGTGGCGAGGACCGACAGCCATGACTGGGAGGCCACTTGTGGAAGGTGCACGGGCACCTGGAAGACTGGACTTGACTATCCCTTTCCCCCCATCAAGCAGTTGATTCTTCCATTTCCTCAATTGCCCCCTCATGCAAATGAAGTAATTCTAGGCCCACATTGCTGGAGAGTCGGTCGAAACACTCATCGATTTCGAATCACCACATGCACCAATGTGGGCCATCGTTAAAAACGAAGCACGTATAAGCACGTACAACAACAAAACAATACCAGCACCTCTGAAAGAGTGGTTTCTATATACACACCAATATATATATATATAACAATTATATGTTACATTCAATCACCACACGATTCATCCATGGTGCAAGTATGATCCATCCATCCAGGCTGTGGAAATCACGTCATCCATTGCTACAGGACTCACCCCATCCACCAGAGCCGACCGCCTGGTGGAGGCCATTTTGGCATCAGCAAACAGTTCAAGCAAATGGCGGCGCGCTCCTGCCGAGGCCGATCGGAGAGCTGTGGCACGAGATGGTTGTAGCATGTTGCCTTAAGCAGGCGCCAGCTACTGCCAATAGAATCTGCCATGGTCGTTTTTGTATGTTCTTGTGATGCTTCAGTTTCGGTCCAAAGCGAAGCTTAAGACCAACCACATGTGATTACATCTAAACAATCTGCACATTTGGTGATGATTCCGTTGTAGGTCTCAACCTTAGGATGATGCAGAATGCAGGTCTACATACCGTCCTGTAAGAAGGACACCTGCGCCGTCTCCTGCGCCTTGTCATAAGCTTCCTTGGTTGAAGGTCAAATCGCCAAAGAAAATCGCTTGAACCTGTGGCCCGAACAGTCCAAGAACAGTCCAAGACTGAACCATGGTCTTTAGATGACCTGACTATGAGTCAAACGGACTTTGCTTCGGTGGTGTCGAACTGGTCGAACTGGACTTCTCCAAAGTGGCTGCTATATAAGAACATGTTCAACAGTCAATCGCTAGCAGCTAGCAGAGATCTTAAGAGCCTGATGCTTGATATTATAGCTACCCCTTGATCGGATGGAGTATCGAATTCATTCGAATTCAGTCGTCCTAGAGATCGGAAATCGGCTGGATGCGGGTGCAAAAGCGAAGCCACACCTGAGGGATCCGCTTCGCGGCTCCCGGCTTTCCGGTTGTGTTTTTTCAATGCGGTGATCGGTAGCACGGTAGCATTGACATATTCCAACGACCGCATTCTGGACATGTTTTGACCCACCCACCTGGCATATGACTATATATGTATATATATATATATTCTCTTATCAACTCTGCTCAAATCGGCCAACATACTTCCAACACCTCAAAGAATTATGGCGAATTCGCTCTGCCCAAAAACCCCGCCACCTTCACCACAAAAACGTTGCTTAAAACCACGCACGCTACCGCTACATCCTCGGAGCCCAGTTTCCCAACGCGGCCACCCGGCCGTCCAGACCCGTCGGTCCGTGGTCGGTGCCGCAGTCCATTCGTTGGAACCAGGGAGCGCCGTGCACTGCGATGAAGAGGTTCAGCAAACAAATGCAAAAGGCAATGACCTGCAGTGCTTGAGTCTCTCATTGCCTTTCCACAGGAAAGACCTTGAGCCTTAGATAGCCTTAGAGTTTCATTCTAAAAAGGAAAAACACCCCAAAGGCGATGACCTTCAGTCTCAGGTGAGTCTTGCACCACCTTTTGGGTGTTTTCCATTTTGACTTCCAATCACCATCCACTGCCATCCGTGGTGTTGACCCCCCGCAAGCGCGCCCGGCGTTCGTTCCCGCCCGCGGAACGCGACGGGACGATCGGCACGGAGGCCGAGGTGTTCGCCGTGCCCAAAGGGGGGGAGGTCAAGACGTCTCAAGTGTGTCGACATCGACGTGACACGGTGCGCTGTGACACGTCGACGACCTCGTGACGCTTGAAGCGAAGCCCGAGTTAGAAGCCCCCCAAGCAACACCTCCAAAGGAGATCGCCTCTCCCATGGGGCACTGGAGGCGACGCCTCTTAAACAGTTCCGGTTGGCAGGGGTTGGCTCGGTTTCTTCGTGTGGTTTGGGTGTGTGGGGTCGGTTTGGAAGCACCGGACCAAAGCATCCGAAGATCGACCGAGACCTTCAAACTCTCCTTCCTAAAAAGCACTGAGCAATGAAAGGTCCCCATCTGATTTGAACATATTTGAACATGAGTTCTTTCCTTGAAGGAATCTTGAAACCCTGTTTTCGGTTTCCCCCGCCCCGTTCCTGAAGAGTGTTTGTGCTCCAATCCATCATCTCTCTCAGGTGCGACCAAAGGTGCAGCCACCGAGAAGAAGAAGATCGTGATGTGAGAACCCAACTCCTTTTGGTGCTAAAATGTTCCAGCGAAAATGATCTATATAAGCTTGGTTAATTCAAAACAATTGCCCAAGTTGAAGGTGTTGAACGTGGCTTGCTCGAGCAAACTTACCCAGCGATCTACAAGGAATCTATGGGAATCCGTTCAGTCCCTGTTTTGGTTGGCATGGTTTTGTTTCGTTGCGTTTAGTCTGTCAAGTTTTATGCAATGATAGAATATGCAATGTGGATCATTGTTTACCGACTGCAGATCAAAAGAAACACCCCCCAATCTGCAATGATATGATCTTGGTGAAGCCATACACTCAATGAAAAAGAAACATCTTCGCACGCCGCACGTTCGTGCAGCCATGGAGGCCCCATGGAGGGTCTCCCCACATGGCCGTCCTCATCCCCGTCATACAAGCCCAAGACGACTCCAGCGCCATCCCCGTCTCCCAGCACCAGCAGTCGCAGAGTGCCCATAGTCACCTCTCTGCGATTCGACATGAGATGAAGGCCGATCATAGTGACTTTGCGATGGGTATATATATATATATACCAGGACCCTCCTGTCGGGGTGTCCTGGCTGAACTACCCCACACTACCTACAGGCTTCCAGACAGGGCACCCCGATCCTGGTATATATTTCCTAATTTTGTGTATATCCCAGCAGCCTCCAACAGGTGTTTCCTGGTGACAACAGGTGCCCAGAAACCACCTGTTAGTGTCCCAAAACAGCCTGTTGGAGGGTCCTGATCTTCTCCTTTTTCTAGAAGTGGTGTGCAACAACAAATCTGCAATACATGCATTGAATTCTGATAAAATGACTTGTTTACTTTGATGAAGTTTAGTTTAAACCCTTACTTGTTGAACCAATTGTTGTACAGGTTCTTTTTCTGGATGTCCACCTATAGAAGGCTCGGACCGCAGGTCGCACTTCCGGACCGCCTCGAAGATGGTCCTGGTGTTCTGATGCAACGTCAATGCCTCGGCTTTCGGCTGTCGAAGGAGTGGCAGTCGGAAACCACGAGGATTCCGACCATCCGACCATCAGGGTGTCCTGGATTCCGGAGAGTACATGGAAGGTTGGAGGGACAAGCCAGGCGACCCAGTGGCCGGATGCTTCTGGTTCGTGATCAATGAGATTCCCCCCAAAAGACCCAGCTGAGTGGGCCATCAGTGACATGCTGCCCATCGGGCCGGGTATATAGGGCAGCATTTCTCCGGGAACCACCGGGTATCGGCTTGAAGAGATCAAAAGGGAACCAAAAATCAGCAAACAATGCAATCTATACATACATACCAGGACCTTCCAAGAGGTGTCTATAAATAGCCTCTTAGAGGTGTCTGAGGTGGCCAAAAACCACCTGTTGGAAGGTCCTGGTATGTGTGCATGTGTATATATATATATATATAGGGCGCCAGCAAAGAAAAGGATATCATCTGGTTCTTGTCCCCAAACCTCAAACCATCGCAACCTCCTCTCCTCTCATTGATGCGCCGAGCCGCCGCGAAGGAATGCAAGAATCCAGCAAAGACGAAGAGCGTGACCAACAGAATGCCTAGCTGACTTGAAGGCGTTTTCTCCCCGACTTCACGTACATTGGTGGGCTGTCTGCATCGTGCATGTGTCGTGCATATGGTCATGTTTCTTGAAAACCGATGTTCATCTACTTACGTTTATTTAGATGCCATTGCTCATCTACTCCGTATCGCGCCAAAGAGATGCCAGCTGAAAGATACCCAGCCCAGACCAGCCCAGACCGCTGCCCCGCCTACCAAAGGCATGCACGAGGCCTAGCTTGGCGCGTGTGCTAGGAATCCGCTTGAAAAACCTCTGGTTGAGCTCGAAAGATCCGTTTCAAAATGTTTCAAATCATCTTTTCTGGGGGAATTAAGGGACATTAAGGGACCCTTCGGACGCTCCTGGTCCTCCTGGAAACGGATCCATCTCTGGGACGGTCCGGGGACGGCCCCCTCGTCCACTCAGCCTAGGCGCCTGACACGTCCCCAGTCGAACACCGCCGTTCGAACACCAACGACATGCCCGAAAAACGAAAAAAAAGAGATCGCTCCTGCAGCACAGGAAGGATCTTCTCCCCAAAGACGGCAAAGGCACGGCAGGTCCAGGTAAACATCACCCAGCGACCCATGACCTCGCGAGGTCATTGAAAAGAACCGAGGTCATAAACACATCGGGAGGTTCTCACCTCCCCCGACCCCATAGGGGGTCGCTCAAAAAAGGTCGCCATCCAAACCCAATCAACTTGATAGAATAATAAGGAACCCAGGGACCCAGAACCTGGCGAATTTGTCGTGTCTGATGCTAAACATGGTGTTGATTCTTGCAAGTTCTTCGTTCTCTAGGTGCTTTGTCTGTTGCATGTTCAGAAGGGTGGAAGGCTTCGGCGAGCTTTCGCCCTTCGCCTGGACGCGGAAGGGACGCGGAGACACATGGGACTCAGCCACACATTGGGGAAACTATACATCATCCTAAAGCAAAACCCAGTTGCAGGTTGCATAGCGCGAACAGAATCTGAAGATTTCTTTCCCCTGGGAGTCAAAGACTATAAAAAGAACGGTCTTTAGGTGACCCGAAAAGGAATTTTCTTTACTTCAGTCGGTCAAAAAATAGTCTTTGGACTTCCAGGGTTTCCATATATGTCTATATAGAGTCTACCACTGCACAACCGTGCAACCGTGTACCAGATACCGCACCCTGTTCCGCAAAGAAATGTGACACATGGTTCACACCTCTTGAGTTTTCCTCATCCCTTCATGACGTCTCCGACCCCATCTTCCAAACCCACGCACGGCAGCGTCCGGCCGTGGCCGTGGCCGTCCTACCCGCGGCCAGGAGGCCATAAGGGCCAACCACACCGGCTGATTCTCGATGCGCAAGTCATGTTGACTCCTCGGCTCAAAACCAACCACCCCCCTCGCGCTTGCGCTCGCTCATCGGCTCATCGGCTCGTGATCACGAATGGCCCAGCGCAGCGGATATGATCTCGGACCCGGTCAGACACCGGCATGGGGATCGGCCGGAAGAGTTTGGTTGGGTTTGTTCCATGTTCTTTCTTTCTCCACAGGTAGGTGTTGGCGGTGTTCCCCCCAGATCTCCATGGGACTGGCAAATGATCCCTCGACCCCTGAAATCAACCACCCCAACAATGGACTAAGTATAGTTTTTTATAACAATAAAGACAGGCAGTGGTTGTGTCTGGCAAAAAAAAACACTCAAAGGATCTCAAAGGGCTCTACCCCTTCCCTATATAGGTCAATGACCTCATTTTGCTGGACGTGGTCAGTCATACAAAACACACTACACTCATAAGATCCCAGGGGATCCAGTTACCACTATAGCTGGTAACCAGTGGTTCCAAAGACTAAACCCATAGACCGAACGAAATCCGTGGTTCCTTATATAGTGATTTGCCTGGGATCCACACTATAAGTAAGATCTTATAAGGAGGTAAACTCACCTCTCCGGCTTCTACCGGGATCATGTCCTGGACGATGACGACGAAACGACGAAACGACCATACGCCAATACATAGACTTACCGTCTACGACGCCGTCGTTTCACCCGACCCACCGAACGGTGAAGCACCGGACCCAAGGCTCGAGTGCATCACCCACAAGCCCAGCGCCTGACGGCTCCGAACGCCGCAGCGAACGCGGCAGCGGCAGCCGGCCAGGAGGAGCTGGGTGGACCATCCGCTTTGGGCTTCCAGTCACGTGGATTGGGCCGGTCCGAATGAAAGGCCCCCGGAAGACGTTGTTAGTACAATGTTGCAAATCTGTTACATGTCATGTCATTTCGACCCAACAGTTGGGAGGTTGATGCGGATCGGAACATGGCCGATGGCAGTGGCACCTGCTCCAGAAAAGGTCACATGAAAATTGAAAGGACTTAGTAAGAAATGTTGTGAAGTCACTTTGAACTCGAATCCACAAAACCCACCCACGCGTTTCCCATGAGAAATCACAGTGGCATCGAAAATGGCCGGGAAGTCTACACCTGTTCCCTTTGCAGCCACTTGTCACCAAAACACCGTGGTTTGCAGGTACGCGCGCGGCCAAAAAAACGAAAGAACTTTGTCTCTCTCTCTCTCTCTCTCTCTCTCTGTCCAATCCAAGCTGCTGCAGAGAGATAATCGAAGAGATTCTTGAGATGCGGCACGGGAAGGGACCAGCCGAAAAACGGAATGGACCATCTCTTCCTGGGCGGAATGGACCAGCGAGAGATGGCTCGAGTGTCGAAACTCGAGTGTCGCCCACCGAAGCATATCCCATTGGTCATGGAGTGGAGACTCAAAGGAACAATCACCGCAAGCCTGAAGAACATCATCGAGTCTGCATGAATTATGGCATATGTATACCATTATTTACCTATACGTTCAGGTGGTTTGTGGACTGTATGCATTTTTGAACGTCACAAAGTGTTGCCTATTGTGGTGCCATGGGGTGCCCATTATCATCCACTCACTTAGGGACTGTGGCGTTCTGCCCCTCAGCATCGAATAGGGGCCCTTGGAGGCTGTGCGCCACTTGTATCTCGTTTCAGAGATAGTTGAGAGGGCAACATACACTCTAATAGCCACAGAAAAGGAGAGGGCGAGTATGTCAAGAGTACCTTTTACAGTACCATGATCTAAAAGATCCATCGAAGACTGATTCGATGCTGATACGACTGGAGAGATCACATACCCACACTCATGCTTAATCAGCGGCGGTTCTCGCGCCGCGCGAGCCCCTTCTAAAAGAGCCGGACGCTGGGCTCTTTCAGAATTCATCATATTCTCATCTCCGGACGCTGGACCCCCCCAGGGTTCGGCTTTGAGTCGGATTCAGATGGATTTGGAAGATCCCCAAATCACCGGATTTCACTGAACGGGATCGAACGCACGGTGCGCCGGGCGGCTCCCAGAAATAGGCCTCTGGCAGCTTCCTGGGCTGTTTTGACTGGGATACACCCTCATTCACTCTGCTGCTTGTGGTGCTTCGCTTCGAAAACAACATGCACAACATACATGCACAGTTTAGTTGAAGGTGTATTAATCCTGGAAAGAACTCTCCTAAGGTCCTAAGGCTCTCCTGACGAGACCGTACAAGACCACAACGATGTATTTTCTTCTGCCCAATGCAGAAACAAACATGCCGTGTTCACAAAGAACGAAGCTGCCGCCTCGAGGGTCAAGAACGCTGAGGCACCATCATGATCACATTGCAGAAAGGAGGCAAAACCAGAATGTCAAGCTTTTGGGATAACAAACGCTTCTCACCTGACGTCAATCCCGGTCTAAAGTCCAAGGTAATTGAAATGCATGTTATTCACTGCCCCAAAGTCTCATAATTGTACAGCCAAGATTTAAGCCACTGATTGTAGTGAGAAGGGCAGTGGTTAACGGGCCGGGCAGGTCAGTAACAGGTAAGAACGCCTAAGTGACAGAAAAACGGCCTATGCAGCCTATGCAAGACACTTTAATTGTGATATATATATATATATATACTTGCAACATACTAAAGTAACGTATACGTATTCAAAAGTGAAGAATCAAACCAACACAAAACAATGACATCAAGCCCCTAGTTGTACTGATCATCTTGTGGATCACCCGACCCCAAAAACTGCCCAAATTGCTTCTTCGCATCTGGCCCAAACAATCCAAACCAACCAACCTCACCCTGTCCTGCCTCAACCCCCCTTGCTCTCCCAGATGCAGCTCAACACAATGGCCCAAGGCTTCAAAGGTCTGCGCCGCGGGAAGCGCATCCGATCGACGCGACGCCAGGAGACTGACAAGCTTTCCGATGGATGGAGCGCGCCCAAAAAGGGCCCCTCTAACAGGGGCCATGGCCCATCAAAAACCTGGTTTTCCCTAGCAAAAAACATGGTGTTTGTATGTGGAAACCTTTGTTTTTCATGGTTTTGGGGGCCCCTGGTAGTGCCTATAGACAGGAGTTGCATAACTTGATGGTGTATTTGGTAAATCTGGATGGACCCGTCAGGTACGGGTCCTGCTCCCTGACGCTTGCACCGCATGCCAACCGCGGTACGGATCAGCTCCGTGGACTGAAACGGCTAAGCTCCGCCGTGCTCGGTGCACTTCGATGTGGGTCCATTCCGCTGAAGCGGGCTCTGAGCTCTTCAGTCGCACTTGGTTCGGATTGGTTCGGGTCGACCGATCCGGTCAGTCGAAGAGTTCTCCATTTAGTGACCCTGTCATATCGGCGCCATCCGATCGCATCCCGTCGAACAGGCGCGTCCCACCGTGCAGGCGGTGGACAACCGGTGCCCAACGGAGGACCGGCACGACCCCTTCTTGATTTCGTGAAAAAAACTTGCACAAACCTTCAGAAACCTGCCCAACACCACAAACATGCAGGACAAAAAAACAAACTACTAAAGCCTCTCCTCGTTTTTCGCTGAGACGCGTTTTCTTGATGGTCTTCACTCGGGTCACCCCCGGTCCACGAAGATCGAAGCGATCTCCGCAACGACAAAAAACAAAAACCAACCATGCCTCATAGAAAAGCTCGTGGTAGACCTGTGTCCCAACCAAACTCCACGCGCCTGAGGCAGTTGAACATGGACCAATGGAGGAGTTGGAGGCCCTCTCTGAAACCTAAAGAATTCATGCCATGGATGGAAGATTTTGCCGATCAGTTGGTAGGTTTGGAAGTCTTTTTGGGGGGGTGGGGTCAGGTCAATGTCAAATACCCAGATACTCCATGTAGTATGCCATATATGCCGATCAGTTGGGGTGGTTTGGGGGGTCAATGTAAGCATATATGGCAGTCCCATGGAGTGTCTGGGATAGATTGGTCCGTTGACTGAAAAAATTACTGCAAGTGATCCGTTAGTGGACAGAAATTCGTTCCAGTCCGGATTGTCGGGGGTATCAAGGTCGGTCGGTCTGGAATGGCATGAATCTCTCAACATGAGGTCGGCTGATTTTGAAGGCCCTTAGGCCCTTGGGAAGGCCGATTCGAAGAACATCTGTCAAGATCGGATCGGCTGTAGAAACTGATGTACCATGATGTACCCTTTTTGGGGCTCCAGTCGTACCTCCTCAGGTTCGGTATGACTGGATCCTCCTGGCACCCGGACCCCGGTCGTCCCACCAAACCGAAACGATACGACTGGAGCCCCTATAGGGGGTACTGATCCATTAGTCGTTCCCGATTGACCAGACCTCCGAGTCCTTGACACACAGGACCAACAGGACCTCGTTGGGGAGGTGACTGGTTACTGGGGTGAGAGTGTCCACTGACCTCCACCAGTACGTCAGGATTTGCGCAGTCACCGAAAACACTTGAACATTTGGTCCTAGCAATTTCGCTGCAGAAAAACGTGCCAGTCAGCTAGTTGAATCGAGAAAACGCATCCACTGAATTAAACTGTTCAGTCTCGTCACTCCCCAGACACGACACATGGGACTGCCATATGTGCCTACATTGACCCCCCTGGCACCACCCCAATTGATCGGCATATGGCATACTACATGGAGTATCTGGGTTCATCGACCAACAGGACCTCCACAGCTCATCGACCTGAGTCCCGCCAGATTCGCTCCCGCAGGTTAACCCGCCCAGCGCTCTTCGCTCCCGCCTCTTCGAAGGTAGGAGTCCTGCAGGATTCGAAGGAGCACCAGGACCAAAAAGTGCCGTCCCAGCATCAGGACCCAGTGATGGGGGGGATTATCGTTGAGTTCGAGTGATGGGGTGCCTACAGGGTCCTGGTATGGATTTCGTCCGTGTGGTTGTTGTTTTTGGGTTTAGGTCCGATAGAGGTCTGTTTTCTTTACGGGGTGATTTAATCCCTCAAAGATCGGTGCACCGTGACATGTTCCACCCGGCTGTCTGTCGTGACGCCATCGTTTCCTTCTTGAAGTTCATCTACCTGGACCTTCAGTTCGTGACCACTTTGGAGTCTGTGTTTGTGACCTCTTTAGGGACTAAGTGATCTCAAAGATGCTGAAGGTCCTGGTAAAGACCTCATTTTACTGGAGATGGTCATGCAAAACCAATGCATTCAAGGAGGTCAAAGGCCCGGATTGACTGTGGCTATAGCACCGCACCTCCTCCCGGTGGCACCGAGAACAAACCCCACCCCCTCCCGGCCTGTTCAGTGGGAATGACCTGGATCACGAAGCAGAACAACCTGCAGCGACGCCGCACACGACCTGCCCTTCTCGCACCGCACCACGGTGCCCACCTCGCCCCGTGCTCCACAACAGACCGACCGAGTCATTCACCGCATACGAGCCCCGCCCCCGTTGAACAGCGGAACGGACGACCGGAACGGTGGACTCTTTCGCGGACGAGGAGGGTTGGAGCTTGGGCCCGCTGAACAAGATCCGCCACCACGTCCCAAGCAGCAGCTGAGGAAAATCGCATATTTTGATGGATCGAACATCATGTTCAAGTCTCAGGCAAGAAAACGGATCTCCTCGTGTACAAGCGCACGTCCACCTGCACCAGATCTCCCGATTTGAGCCGACTTGGTATGACGTAGGTATCACGACTGGTCGAAACCCCTTTGATTCCAAACGAATAGCTGTCCCTTCAGACTCCAGTCTGTCAATAGCACAACTCCAAGATACGTCGCCCCTAATCAAATAACATCTTCATGCGTATATCCCTAGGGATCCAAGTACCTTCTCAGAAGGTGATTGGAGACTGTTTATGTAGGTTTGGAGGGTCCAGTCGTACCTTCTGAGGACGTACGACTGGATCCCTAGGGTATATGGTTTTCAGCACATGTGCAACCGTGAAGAGTGAGGAAAACATCTTCATCCGAAGGCTTTTGTGGCAAGGCTTGGCTTTTCACCTGGAGATGTGAGTTCTTCCGCCGTGAAATGACTTGCAGCATGCTTCGGCACCATCTCGGCACTTGCACCGCAGTGCAACCTCCGACGGCTCGGGCGATGGAGAATCGATCGATCGTGTCGACGTGAGGTCGAGACACAAGGCGATGACCACTGCCCGTTGAGCCGTCTTGTTGTAGTACTGGTATTGCACCTAATGCAAAACAGGACGAGCGTTTTTTTGAAGCACGGGACTCAGGTTTTACTGTTTGCACAGTAAACAGGCCTCACGGTGGTGACTTTTCATGTAAACCTGGATCTTCCAACTATGCCAAATTGCCTTTTGGTATGGTCTATGTTTATACATTTTTATGGCTGAAAAGGCAGAATAATGCGGTGAAGGCTCCTGGTAAAGGTATACCTGATACATCTTCCTTTGTATGTATTTTTGGTTGTTAACACACAGTTCTTGAGGCAGGCAGCAGAAATTTATGTAGTGCACTTACTTAATTTTGGATAGAATTGTGGAAATGACCAACAGTGATGCTTCCCCAAACAAATACAACACACAAAATGGCACACGACGGCACCAAAACGGCACAAATTGTTTGAGGCAAACCCATGAAGCGGCTGTTGAGCTTTTCTGACAGAAGAGAAACAAACGCATCAAGCGTTTCACAAAACGACCACAATTTTACATACCCGGGTGTCTTAGGTATGTGAAGGTGATGGCTCATGAGACATGTCGAACACAATAACTCTTCGGGCATGGCTCATGAACTATGCCCCGCATGCTTTGCGTCATCACACATGTTTATCACATGTTCAGACAGTACTCCATCTAATGGCCTTGAAACCCACACTTGCTCCAAATCTGGCAGATGTTTGTCTTTTTCTTCGGACAACATCAATGCTGCCTAGCTTAACTTAGCGTCAAGGACCTGTCAACTTGGATCCTCAAGCAAACCTTACAGGTTAATGAGTTCACCTCGCTGAAGTTGATCATCCAAACAAACGACAACTCAATGACTGAGGTTGCTTTCAGGAACATGGAGTCACTCCTGGTCCGGATGGTTTTCGTGTTAACATTGAGTCCCAGCGACCCGCCCAACTCCCAACCCCTCCATCCGCGAATCGACTGAACTTCCACCCTTCCACCCCGCGAAGAGCCACCAGGTTCGTCCACACGTACTCCACGATGGCCTCACAACACCCGCGGCCGCTCGTCAACGAGCCCGCGTTCAGGCGCTGGTTCCGGCGCTCCAGTCGACGACCCCCGCGAGGGCCCGCCCCGCTGGTGTTTGTTTGACATCTTTGGAAGAGTGCTTCACCATGCTTCACCCTGCTTCACCGATCATGCTAAAATTAGTATTTGTTTGATTTGCGTGATCATTTGTGTTTTGTTTCTACCATATATTTTGTGGGTTGGAACAATTTCTTGTCCAACTGAGTTCGAACTCAGAAACAGCGCAGCTTTTGATCCAACACAATGAAACAAGTCTGCTAGTCTTATATATAGGCATGGGATGGCGCCATGGGAAGGGGTCGAACCATCTCATTTCTGTCAAGACCATGACCATGATCCTCAAATCCGAAAGCATCCACTCTCAGCCGAGACCAACGGGTGTCTTAAACCTGCGCTACTCTGCTTCGTCTCCCCGTCTCGTGCCGCCCAGCTGCCCGCACGCCGATCTTCAGGAAGATGTGCCTGTCATCCACGGTGCTGAGCACCTGGGCGCCGTGCCGCGTTGATCCGCGTCGCCGGGGCATGCGCTGAAACCGCTGCAGCCGTCCATGTGGCACGATGTAGACGATGAATCAAACCTCCCCCTTGGAACCCACTTCTAGATTCAGACGGCACGTCGTCCTTTCCATGCCCCAAACTCCCATGATTTTATAGAGGAAAATTGCCATAGAAAATCCCGGCAGACATGAATTGGACATCCTCGTCTCACGCCATGGAGGTTTGAGGAACATCCTTCGAGTCGTCCCACGGAACTCTCATGGCCTGGCCATCAAATCCGGCCAACAAGGCTCGTGACATATAACGATCGAGGTTATAACACACGAGAATCACACACAAAACTTGAAGAGTGAGCAACAAGGCTCAGGACCGTATGTTCATGACTTCAGGATCGATGTTCGCTGAAAAGGGGCCGTTCCTTTACTCGGTTTCTTCGCCACGCTCTGTCTATCAAGCTGTACGCCCTCCTTTTTGTACCAGGTTCGGTCTGTACAGAGCCACCGCGGTCGCGGTGTTTGGCGCCCGCGCGGCACAGCTGAGAGGTTCTTCCGGGTGCAAACCGGGCTGCTTCTCTTCCACCGCACGCGCGTGGGCTGTGAACACAGACTGGAAAAGGACTCAAAAGTTGGCTCAGTGGCTCCAAAGATTGAGAGCCAGTTTTTCTTCGAGGTTTGCTCAAAGGTCGTACTTGGGATCCTTGGCATAGGAGAGAGTCAAAAGCACCTGGAACTCCTTCTGGAACTCCGACTCGCCTTTCTCCTGACATCGTTCTGTGTTCAGCGCGAGGCGTCAGAAACACTTCGCGAGCAAACTCGTCCGGTCTGAGCTTCTCGCAATCTCGGGGAAAAGTGGCATCAAGTCAGGCGCCCAGTTGGTATTTTTATCATGCAGTAGGCGACCTCTTAACCTCTAAGACCTCTTAACAGGTGGTTTTAGGCGACCTCTTAACCTCTAAGAGGCTATTTATAGACACCTCTTGGAAGGTCGCTGGTATAGACATGGTCTATATTGTATAGTCGACTGAATTGCGATAGACCAGTTTAATTACAGCGTTTCCATATTTATGCAGTAGAACACCCGTCGACCATGTGCTTCACTAGGACCTCACCGCCCGGTCTCCCTAGTGAAGCTGACACACTGCGGCTGTCTGATGTCCTGAATGAAACAACATTCCCTGGAGTTACAGTTCAAAGACCTCATTTTACTGGAGTTGATCATACAAAACTACACTCAAAACTACTACTCAAGGAGGTTTTCAGGACCAGGTTTTTCTGGGTCAAATTGGTCTTGTAAAGATTTCTTGCCATTTGGAAGAACGTGCAAAAATATCCATATCATTGACGCTGCCAATCATTACTCATCCTGGCACTCTGATCCGGCACTGCATTCAATCATGGCATTCAGCGCTCCTTCGGCCGACGCTATATGAACAAATCGCAATTGAACATCGTACTTATTACGATCAAAACATCAGCGCCATGAAAGCCAACCGTTTCAATTTTGGTTGTTTTGGGAACTAAATCGAAACCAAAATCCTACTTCAACTGGAACTCCGGCATTTATCAAACATTTGATCAAAGGGCACAAACCTACTTCCCTCGACGTTTGTCCCAACAGTTGCAACTCCTCACTGCCCGTCCTTGGTCGGAAAACTCTTGTCAAACTCCTCCAGTTCCTCTGTAACGTGGACAAGCACCCGGAAAAAATGAACATGATTGCCTGTGATTTGGGGAATGATTTTGGTCAAAGCTGAGAAAATGCACCTGGCGTGGGAGACTGGGGCCAAAGAAGCTGTCATGAAAGAAGCGCTCCAATTTGAAGAAACCATGGTTTACGTCATTTCCACCATAGTCGAACAGACCACAAAGAAGGTTTTTGAATGACCGACCCAATAAATGGATTGGATCCACTTATATAGCTCCGTCGTCACTCCGCTTCTCCTCCGGGCTCACGGCGAAGGCCTCCGACTCTTCGAAGACGCCGCCGCAACCGTCCAGGGCACCCTCATACAGCGGATAGGCCATCAAACCCACGGACCATTGGCGCTCGCCTCGGCCATCCGTGAAGAAACGCATTCCTCGAGGTCTGGGTTGCACAGGCTCCGCCGAGCATGGGCGCTCCGCAAGGGTACAAGCTGGAGTGGTGGTTTCCGGCGTGTTTGGCACCAATGACGCACACCAGCTCTGTGCTTTTCCGGCTTTCCTGCGTGTCCCCGAAGAGTCTCAAACAAGCCGGCGCCAAAAAGCGCGAGTTCTTCCACGAACCCTTGCCCAAATTTCCGTTCGGCAGTGGCTTATGCGAATTTTGGCGCGCCCAGTGGACCGAGTGGGCCCAGATCTCATCTCGTCCAAGAATTGCAGCACTGCACACGCTGGCAACGTCGGAGGGTCTTGGATCTTCCTGATCTAATGGAGGTATCCGAACGTTTCATAGTTCAGTACCTGCTGGGATGTCGAGTTGATGTTTCGTCAACTTTCGTCCGGGCGCTGCCAGATCCAGAAAACGGAACTTCAGCGGCCACAATCCCGATGTCACCAACGATGCCAACGCTCTAACCAGTCGAGGAGGGAAGTCACCGGCATGCCTTCAGAGAATACCAAACCCTTGGCGCCAAATTAAGATAAAGCGTTCAATCCATGATAACTTAATGACAACGGTCAAACTTCCCAATGTCAGAAAGGCCTACACCATCCAGAATCAAGTTTCTGCCAAAAGAAACACCACTGTTGTCAACCAATGTCTTGATTTTGGACCAAGCCTTGAAGCGAATCCATTCCAATCACAAACGCTCTGGAATCGGCCACCCCGTTTGGTTGGAGTCCCCCACCCCGACCGCCCAGGAAAAGGCCCTCCGTTCGAGAGAACGTGTCGTGCTGCGAGGTTGGTCTAAGAAGGTCGGAACGTGTCGTGCAGCCTTTGACCAGAGCGCCCTACCTGGACCCGGCGGACCGTTCGTACCGGGACGTCGGACCCGAACAACAAACAGCTACGACGGGACAGTACCCATTTTCTGAAGTACGAGTTCCGGGTCGACTCCAGGTACAATAGGCACAAGTAGGGAACACCGTAGCACAGCTCGGCTTTCTTTCACGAAATCCGTCTGTGCAACAGCTGGTAGCCGCGTAGCCTTCGCGGTCGTAAAAGGTCGTAAACACATGTACAACCTACAAATAGCGATGCCTCACAGATTGCGGAACACGAACGCGGAACAAACATGCATCACACCTTCCTGAACCCATCGAGTCATTCGGATCTGCTCAGTGGCGGGTCATCAAGTCATACCTCTCCCCACAGCGAAAGCCCAAGCGCCCATAGAAGCGAGGATCTCCTGCACACGGACACACGGACAGCCTGAGACCCCCTATAGAATAGAACCCTACAAGTCAAAGACCCTCATGAACTACTGGGGATGGTCATACAAAACCAATACTTGAGGAGGTCAAAGACCAGGTTCTACTGGGTCGGACTGGACTTGTAGGGGAATAGTCTCCCAGTGTGAAGACCACAGATATAGAAATATCGATCAGTGATTCTTATGTTTCATGTCTTCTGATGTCTTCTTCTTCATCTTTTTCGCATGGTATTATTATAGAGTTGATCTTGTTCTTCACCGTCATATCTACTGGGTCTACCAGGTCGTCATCTGTCTGTCAGTCTGGCGAACTCCTCACCCGGTTCCGACCCCAACTCGTTGTGCATGTCGACTCGTTCTGCTGGGCGGATTCGTGGCGCGTGTCGTTTCGTTCGTTCCAATAAACGGCCGAAACATGCAAGCGAGCAATTGATGGGAGCTGCAGCTCCCCACCAAGATCATCCAGGATAAGGATCATCCATCCACCCAGGGCTGCTGAAGAGCACACTTTGGGGGGGATTCTTTTATAGCAAACATGCTCAGCTGCTGGAAGCCAAAGCTCTAACCTCTTACCTCCATCATGCTGCACCATAGATTCCCTTTCCTTTTCCCCCCAAAACCGAGCTTGCAGCGGACATTCCAACAGAGGTTTTCAGAACCCTAGCTTGGTCCGAACTAGTTCAGACATCGGCCGCAGTGCCGCGGTCCGGTCGTCCTTGGATCACCACGGCGCGGCAGCCCATCTCCTGCGCCCGGCGCAGGGACTGTTTCACCAGTTCGGCGGCCAAGCCTTGGCGCCGGAAGGCGGGCAACACGCCCAAGGGGCCGAAGGTCAAGACGTCCAAGGTCCTGGGGCCCGAGGCCACGGGATGTGCTTGGCTTTTGGTCGTTTGTGAACGAAAAGAAACAAAGAAAACAACTGCATGAGTGGGGATATATTTATTTGTTAAGACCATTAATGGTGAGGTGATGTGAGGTGGGAAAATGGCGAGATATGATGAGATGGACATAGATGGACTGTGAGATGAACCATGGAGATCCATGGAGATGGATGAGGCTCGAGACTTGGATCAGAGAAGCCACGCGATGGGCAAAGCATGCCACACTTCTGCCGCTTTCGGGTGGTCCTATGTTGCACTCGTCTTCTTGAGATCTTTGATACTTGTCTTTGTCTTCACACTTCGCAACCAAAAAGGTTGGAGGCTCTTGATACCTGGACCCTCTCGGGGTGTCCTGGCTGGACTACCCCACACTATCTATATAGGCTTCCAAACAGGGCACCCCGACAGGAGGCTCTTGATACGTTTTGTTGGCTCTTGGTACGGTCCGCTTTGAGGGACTTTCCATCCATCGAACACCGGTCCGGTGCGTTCGATGTTCCGTGCCCAAAGGAAGAGGAAACGTCCGGTCTAGCGGGCTGACCCGGGAGAGACCGGCTCGGCTCAAAGGTGCATAGGTAAGAATGTGAAAGTAACATGGAAGAACATATTGACGATGTATACTGTATATGATGTATATGATGTATGTGTCATTCTCTTAGATATCATCACAGATGCCAAGTATTTTTGTCTGCCATTTTTTTTGCAGTTGTTCTTTTTTGCGGGTTCCTGCCGTCGTTGGTGACGATCTTTGCCT